GTCATGGCCGGCTGTCACTCTGGGAAGCTCAGCACCCCTCCTCCCTGCTCCCTGGTGGGGGCCAGGAGCTTCATCTTTGTTCCCCCAGAACCTGGAGGAGCCCCTGGCAGGTGTTGTGCCAATGTTCGCTGGTGGAGCGAAGGTTGATCTCTGTAAGGCAGGTACTGCGGTTCTCACTGTGCAGAGGGGGGCAGCGAAGTTCCCTGGGCAGAAAGCCAGGTCCATTGAGAACCGTGGAGGAAGCCAAGACCAGCAGTTGCCTCTTTGAGAAGGCCTGCGTCTAAGTCCTCTCTCCCCACAAGCCTTCATGAGTTGGGTCCCATCAAAGGGGAGCCCTGATAAACCTATTAGGGGGAGAGCAACACGGGCAGGGTTGCAGGGGGACAGAGAAGGTCAGAGACTCCCAGGATCTGAGGCCCAGAGAGATTGTGCGGTTTGTCAGAAGTCATGCAGAGCAATTCAGAAATAAGGACGTGGAATAAATGCTCTCAGACCACAGGGATGGCTGGAAAATATCCATACTCTTGGACTTAGTCCCTCACCTTCTGGGCGTTTATCCTCAGGAAATAGGTATTTGGTCAAAGATTCATGGACAGATCTTCATCGCAGTGTTATTTATACTAATGAGGAAATAGAAGCCATGGAGAAGTCCACCAACAATTGAACTGGTTAAATAAACACTGGGACATCCAGATGATAATTATGAAGGAATGCACAAAGGGATTTTAAATAACATAGAAAAGTCCTCAGGGTACCATTTTAAGTGGAAAGCTCAGGGCACAAAGCTGTATATACTTAGTACACAGTTCTGTAAATGACAACTGTTAAACCAATACACCCTGGAAAAATACATGCAAAATAGTTTCTATCACTGATTTTGGTTGGAGGAATATGTAATTATTATTTTACTTGTTATTTTTCTGCCTTTTCTACAATGAGATTTTTTTATTTAAAAAAAAAGTGAAAGAGACTAAAGTGTGGAGATGTAAATCTCTATCCACTGAGTCACAAATCTTACTCTTTTTCTGCCACCAATGATTTCTGATACCTGCACACTCCTACGGTTAACAGGGCAGAGCCCAGCGTTCAGCTGGCACTGAAGAAGAAGGCGCTCGTAACTGGAATGTGGCAGTTTGTCCCATAAGTGTCCTAGGGGGTTTGGTTAGAGCCCCTGTAACAGCACGGAAGTGACAGAGAAGCCACCACAAGCGTCACGGTCCTGGGGAGCACTGAACATGGACGTTCTGCACCGAGATTAACACGTGTTGCATTATTACACTGAGATTAATACACACGTGTCATGACTTTAGGGTTTTTAGGTTTTTTTCTTTTTTGCTTGTTTTTGTTTCTTCAAAGTCACCACTACCAATTTCTATGTCAGAAAGTGTGCCCAAAACACAAGGCAGCTGAGAACCACTGTCTTGCACCATGGTGCCGACATTCATGAGCTTTGGGGGGATCAGGCTGTTGCACTTTCCTAAACTCTCCCGATGAACCAGTGACCTGAGCCAACAAAGCTGGAAACATCGTCCCTGGTTTGGAAACAGTCTCTAAGATGGTCTAGGAAGACACGGAGGAAATAGCTGAGAAAGAGAAAGAGGAGATAAAGACAACCCTCCCCATCCTAGTGGGAAACCCTGTCTGCAGGCCCCTTTCTTCCTCCTTGCCTCCTTGAAACCGGTCTGAAGAGCAGCTGGTCAAAAGGGGTGAGCATAAACGTGGCATTTCCACTCAACATAAAAATCATAGTGAAGACACTAACTGGAGATGACTGCAGCCACTGAAGGTCACTGATGTCAACTGGGGATGGACTGTCAGCCTCCAAGAAAGCCCCTCTGGGGTCTCCTGCACCAGAGGGTTAGCCATCCATTCAGAAGCCACTTGCCCAGCGCCTCTGCCCATCCCAGTGTTAGGAACTCTGGTGGGATACTAACGGTAACTGGGGTTTTTTTTTGTTTGTTTTTTGTTAGGATTTTAAAATCAACTTTATTGACATGGAG